GGGCCTGTTTTCTTACCTGCAACCTCCGCGAGATCCAATCATATCATTTCTTTCTTACTAATTTAGTATTGCCAGCTGTGACTCTCGAAGATCACTGCGAGGAAGTCGTCAGTGAAAATTTGATCGTTCTTACCTTCATCCGAAAGGTATGAAGCACTTGAGGCAAATATGTTTTGTACTAATGCAGATGAAACATCTACGTGTGCCGCGGAGCCTCGAGCAGCAACAAGATCTTTCGTTACGTCATGGTCGAAGTGCGTCGCCTGCAGCGTGCTCGTAAAACGTTTTCTTTCTGGACTTACATCCTGCTCTTGTGGAACATAATATGTAAATTGCGCTTAACCGCATTCTGGTGAGAATGGAATTTCTCTGTCCAAAGAGCCCCCATGAAGATGGTCGTCGTTTGTTTTTTCTAGAAAATGTTTAGTTGCTGTTGCGGTGATAAGAGATCTTAGCTTTTAGTCATAATTTTTCCAGCTCTTGCCTTTTTTGATGGGTAGACAATAATTTCGAACACATTCATTAAGACTAGTTAGGCAGCGCAAATTATCGCGTCATCGTTCGCTACAAATCTTTCTTCGCAACTGAAACCTCGCTTACTTAGAAGCTGCACGTTTAGATCCATTTTACGAGTACCCTTCAAGACCGCAAGTGCAACCCGCTGTTGCTCTATTTAGAGTATGGTCAAATTAACGGTCACCTGTCCAGAGGGCTAGCCATCGAAAGGTTAGATGCTCAGCATCAGCAGCACCCTGCTAATTCACATCTGTTTTCCATCCTCCGCCTCGACGGGGCGCTTCTAGCTTGGCCACTGAGCACATTCTCAAGGCCGGTGAACACTTCCATACAAACATTTACTGACTCTGGCTCTTTGGTCATCAATTTCCTTTATTCTTCGACACCAACGCTATTTGAGCTGGTCTGTCTGTTCTAGGAATAGAAATTGAATCATTTCTTTGCAATCCCCGTTGAAAATGCAATCCATCAACGACACGGTCGTCGGATAGACTGCGAGTACTACCAAGTGCAACGGGGTTGCCGTGTACTATGCGCAAACATCAAGGTCTGCGTTGCCGAAAGAACAGAGGTCGATTTCCTGTGTTACTATCAGGAGTATAAGCGTAAGCTCCTCAGATAGTCATCGCTCTAAAGTATCACGGCTATTTTAAGACTGCAATTGCTCAGAACTAATTCTATTAAGCTAATTAGCACTAAACATTTACATTTATCATTTATCATCTTTTATCTAGCATGATATATCTTTTGTACTTATTGCCGTGAGGCTAGCAGCCTACGCTTCTCTCGAACCCCTACTGTAAGGAATTATGCCATCAATTAAACAAGACTTATCCTGTACTTATATCAATGACACCAAGACTAACGCAAATTTTGTTCAATCAAATCATATTACAATTAATACAATGATATCAAATGTTTAAGGAGATAATCACACATTATTACAAGACTTTTTACGTTACATAGATTGTCCAAATACCGGAAGTATAGAATCTTTTTTTCAAGCCCCCGTGAAAGGCAGGATATGCTCGCATTGTTATTAAAAAATTGATTCTGTACCTCAATCCCTTTCTGGACACAACCATAGCGGTCCAACCTTAGCGGGATCGCATCTCTGTATTAGGCTGCGGACACTTGCTTTTGTGAATAGTGATTTCGCACTCCACAACCTAAGTTATCTCACTACATATCCATTTCTGATGCTGGCATCCGCATGTTGATCAATCCTGTCTATCAGCCACAGCGCCGTGCTCGGAGCATTCAATCAGTATATAGGCTTTTTGAATGTAGTAAGAGGATGCTAGATGTAAGCGTCACAACAGAAACTGTACATAAATACACGGTTTATTGCAACTTCAATCGTAAGCCGCCTCGAGAGATGCTTATTTTGTCGTATCAATCAGATGCGTTGCGCTCAAGATCCAGTGAACGAATGGAAAAGTCAGTATGAAAGAGCGGTTGGGTAGGCGGAACGGCGACACGAGAACGAGGCACTAGCCGGTGGCAGTAATACCCGCGAAGCGAGATATAAGTTGTTGATTTTGCAACGAAGTTAAGCTGGACTGTCATCTGCTATTCGATTCGCATGGGCAATCCCCTGCCAACTCTGTAGCCACTTTGTGAAGGTGTATGAGATACATGTGAGCCGATAAGACCAAAATAGTTGGGTTAAACCCTATATGCACGTGATATTCTTTTTCCAGTGAAAATCCAGTGATTGGGAGGATTTTACACCGCGGTCACTTGGCGTAAGCGTTTTGGACGATATTCTCTCTACGCGAATAATGCGTTCCGCTGTAGTGTCAATTTCTAGCTTGGTATTAAGCACCTTATACAAAATGGGGCAAGCCACGCCGGACTTGATCTGACAAAATAATGGCCATTTGCATGTCATGTTAATAAAAGTTCTCGTAAGTGAACATCTCGGCTGTATTCTCACTGGTAAAAATTAAGCTGGCCACGACGTCTGCAAAGCTAGTATCATCGGACACATCTTTCAAAAGCCCAAAGAAGGTCCACGCAAATAGACTGCCAGATTACCCTAAGAAAATGGCATAGGACGCCAACGCATGCGGTGGAATTTCAGCTCGTTTTGAGCGTATGCATATAAGGTCTTGCCAATTCGTATGTAATATGCCATAAGCGCACAGCGCCACAGCTTTTTTTTCCGATGTGGCCTTCAAGAATGTTGTCGTGCACCTCGTACAGTATTCCGTCTCAAGGTCTCATCATGAGGAGCCATGACACGTTGAGTGCCAAGTATCATACAGTAGATCTTGACTCAAGTCAAGTATTAGCGGCGTAAATACACTACCAAACTCTTCAATGAAGGGCCCGAGCAAAGAAAAATTCTTGCGTTTAAAGGTATCATGAGTGCAGCACATGCTGTGTCTGACCCTAACACGATACGTATCGTCTCATCAATGTGTGACATCACCATCGTTGTTTATAGCAGTACATAGTCGAGGCGATGCACGATAGTATCTGCCGTTACTTTAACTGGCCCGAAATAAGCGTTGCCTCTTGATAAATTTAGCAGAAAAGGTTCACCAACACCTTCTTTTCCTTGCGAGATGTATGTCGGATTTGCTATCCGTAACGATACAAGACCTGATTATATACCAAACGGCTTCGTACCAAATAGACATACCTTGAACAGCAGATACCAGAGTACACATCCTGTACTGTATTGTAATCGAGATACCTCAGCTGCTCAATGTTGGCAAGACTCAATTGCGTAGAAGATCTCATGATCATCGGTATCTGCTTGGTTCAAAGCATAGTCTGCGTGAAAGGCTGAAAGGCCACTTACGTCGTAAAAGGATTGTGCAAGCATTTACCGTACCAAGCATCCCTTCTGAATAGAAATGACGTTGACCAATCTATGATGGCTTGAATCATTGCAGGCAGCGTTGCTTTTCGATGAAGCCTTTAGGACAAAGGTTGGGATTATGTTGGCACCAAAGTCACACTATCCTGTGTTGGCGATCACCTTGTTTAAGCGCATATACTCAAGCACCGCTCGCAATGTTTAAATTGGATGTCTACATCCGATTCCCTGTACTCTGCACATCGAAGGACGATTCTCAAGTCAGAATAGGTTCGTGTATCACACTACTGGCAGCACAAACCTTTATATTTTGAGCATTCCTCTCGGAGTATTCACTACAGTGAGAGGGGTATCGCCACCTTGAAAATAATGCAACAGGTTATACTGTTCTACAACACAGCCTTTCTAGGAAGCATTGGTGCCGAAATGATAAATACGTCAAATTACCATACATTTGGCGTTACTCTGTCTGACAGATGAAGGCGACTCTGCAGCGGGGCTGCCGTAGCTGCTAACAGAAAGCTTGGTTAAGATCGGTGACCTTCGTTCTATACTTAGAACCAGTACGTGTGTAGCGGATCGCAATCCACTTACTCCAAGAGTTATTGCAATCTTAGTTAATTCTTCTGTTACAAATGTTACCTGTATTTTTCGGTTTAATTGTGGCAAAGCCGCCATTCTATAGCTTTTCAATATATATAGTAAAACCGTATTATATGTATTTCTACTGGCTGTTCCAGCCACGTAATGACTTTTTGTTAGGTGTAGTCTGTCACACCATCTTGTGTAAACCACCAGAGCACGTTGAGACCTGGAGGAGACACCGCATAGAGTTTTACTAGACCACGTACTGACTTCTTGTTAGGTGTAGCCTCACCATTGTGTTGTCACACCATCTTATGTAACCCACACCCTTCATACCACGAGCAACGTGAAACCTCGTAGATACACCGCTAGAGTTTTACTTGATCTCTTTCATCCTGCTTGGTGTATGAATGATGGCGTTTACGCCTTCATACTGCTATCCCGCTTAGTTTTATTGTCTGGTGGCGCAGTATGTAGGTTTCATGAACCAGTTTAGCTTCATGACGCTCGTCCCAACGCAAACGGCAATAAGCGTGATGGATCACGACATGATGTTCGCTGCATTGAAGGTATAACTAATACTAACAATAGCTTTGATGACATAGACAAAATCGAGCGAAGAAAAACGCGCTTAATAATCTGTTATGGAAGAAAATAACTCAACTCTTTAATTGCGTTATAGATACGGTCACTTTTTGCGTTACCCCAAGGACGCCGCCGCGGTGACTTCGCTCGTTTGACGGTTGCCTCTAAGCTGATCATACCTTGCTCGTTTCATCGGGTGCTGACAATTGTGCATTGTGCTCGAATCACATTCATACTATGATTTGCAACCAGTGGTATAGTGTTGTTGCACTTCTGAGAAAACTTGGTCTACTTTATCTTTTTCTGGCGTAAAACTCGAAAATTCGGCCCTTCAAAAACACTCTTGGGAGCGACAAATGATGTAAAGTCAATGCTTTCAAATAAAATTTCTACAACAGACAGGTAATTACGAGCTTTCATGTCATAATCATGTTAAGCAAAGAACATGATTATTGAAGAGCATGTGAGCATGAGTACTGAACCCTTAAAATGGGTCTGTTGGAAGCTCCAAAAGCCCATACTCTTGCTTATACATCTCGGCCATAGAATTATACGCAAGCATGTCTCCCGCACGAATCATATTTCCTGCATAATCAACAGTGTATCATTAATACTGACAATTCGAGAAATTCTCCATTTTCCTGTCTTACCGGCGTCGCAGTTGAGTGGCGAGTCAGCCGCTGGGTCCGACAACAATGAAATCACGGCCAAGCACGCAGCCTGAGTACATATACCGTCAGCAAGATTTCACGTTTTCAGTAGTAATTTTTATAAGCTCATCACCCTCAAGGTCCATGCTGGAGACCACTCGCGTTTGAGAATATCTAGGCAGATACTGCCATCCTAAATACATATACAAGAAGCACAGCTTGAGCGTAATATTTGTCAGCAGAGTTTGAATAACAGTATCTGTACCTTAAAATGCACGTTTGGATGAAAAACTTTAGTGATAAACTTCATTTTTGGCGGCTCCATGGGATACAGTGGAGTCGTTTGGATGGCCAGTTCGAAACAACGGTTCTCAAAGGGAGTGTCTTTTGGCCCACGAATGAAAGCTTTCCATCGCATAATAGTGTCTTCCTCTGGATAGAGAACCATGTCCTCTTCCGGATTCTTCTTAAGCTCCTGCAACTCCTTGCGAAGGCGCTTTACATTCGTATTCATTTTTGTCGACTATATTTTAGTGTTGTTCATTATCACATAACCGGTATTTTATCATGCGAAGCGTCACATGATCATACGCCGATACTCAACTATGAGCCGAGGGGACAACCAGCTTCCAAGCATTTGCTTTGACGATGATCACCATCTCCGTGTACTTAATAAAGAAAACATTGAGCATACGCAAGAGCTTGAGCAGGAGAGCAATCAGTTTGCGACAAGTGCGTGTCAATAGAGGATTGCTAAGTGTTCATTCTAATAAATTGTTGAGATAGAACTCGAAGAATTTCATGCCATAATCAAGGGCGTACTTGAGGTAATGGAAGGTCAAGCTAAGCGCATTGAGCGTGGAAAGCTGAAGGTATAGCTGACATTGCAGGGTCCAATATTCCGATAAGAACTAAATAATAATACAAATGACAGGCCATTGGCCAACGCAACCGTGTCGACAGCGAAGTAGAAAATCGGAATCGTCAGAAGCAGATGCTGGAGTTGCTTATTAAGGAAAAGAAGACCGAGCTTGAGCGGTATGCTTTGGCGTCAACATTTCAACAAATTTACGGGTAATTTACTTATCTATACTTTCATTTAGGTACAACTTACAGTATCAGTCGCTCACGAAGATAGCAGATGAGCAACAACTGCTCATGGACAAGCTTAGTAACAATGAAGCGTAGCGCAGTATCTCTACATATGATAATTATCCTGGTAATGTAGTTTTCGGAAAGGGCATGCAGCTTTGTAGTAACGACTTGTAACCGCTAAAGGTCTATAACTATGAAGTGGAAGGATTGCTGCTACTTTTGTGAAAAGACAAGGCGTTTGGTAGTAGGAAAAACATAGTTATATAGAAAATGTTTCCTTACGACAATAATAAGGCTAAAATACTACGAGATATATGCGTTTACAACGTCCCATCTATCACACGCTATAGAAAGTTAACTAAGGGATAAGAAGTGAAGATGGTACATAAGGCTCGGAGAAGAAGAGATACAAATTTATGTGCGTTCGCCACGAATACGTCGGGCAAGCTGGATGTCCTTTGGCATGATAGTCACACGTTTGGCATGGATAGCACAAAGGTTAGTATCCTCAAAAAGGCCTACTAGATAAGCCTCTGATGCTTCTTGCAGGGCCAAAATGGCCGTAGACTGGAAGCGCAGATCCGTCTTGTAGTCCTGTGCAATCTCGCGCACTAGACGCTGAAATGGCAGCTTGCGAATCAGCAAGTCTGTCGACTTTTGATACTTGCGAATTTCGCGAAGCGCGACCGTACCAGGTCGGTAACGATGCGGCTTCTTGACACCGCCAGCTGTAGGTGCTGACTTGCGTGCGGCTTTCGTCGCGAGCTGCTTGCGAGGAGCTTTACCTCCTGTGGACTTGCGGGCAGTTTGCTTGGTACGGGCCATGTATTCAGGTGTTTTGGCTGGTGGTTCTTGTTGTTGTGATCTGTTCTTGGTCGTAAGCTCGAAAAAGCGGAAATGAATCGATTTCTCCAAGTTAGACTGCGGGGGTGTCACCGGCGTCGGCGACTAGCATACAAATTTTAAGTTGTTTGGCAAAGGTAGTGGTCGAGTATGTAGAGATGACGCCTTGAAAAGATTAACGAACCCTTCAGAGAATAACTTTGTTTTAGTATTCACAGCGCCCAGGCAGAGGCACAGGCTGGGCAGGGCGACATCGCCTCTAACTATAGCTAAACCAAGCTAATTTTCTCCCCTTGTCGCTGTTTCGTGTCTCTGAGCCACTCGCTCGCACTGGCTCCCTATCCCAGGCCATTGGGCTGGATCAAGCTAATTGTGTCGTTATTTGTATTGGTTGCTGGCATGCACTAAAAGCCGCAATCTCTTTTTGGAAGGGGGCGTCAAGTTTGACTTGATCTTAGTAAGAGTACGTCACCGTTACGAGCAATTTAATCCACCAATCAGCTTGTGCTTGTTTTTATTGATTTGCGCAAGGGAAAAGCCACATCTGCTTTAGAATTTTACACAATTAGACACATAGTATCAGCTGGTAACCTGACGTGCTCGCTAAACATCCATTTCGTTCTTCGAAGAAATTTGATTGGCTTACTCGCTTTACATCCATTTGAGCTTCAAAAAAGATTTGATTGGCTAACTCAATGTGTGACTTGGGTCACAAACTATCATTCTTTTTGCAATACAGAGTCATTTCATTTGAGTGACTTATTGAAAGTTATGCAACAACAAATGATTCGATTTTTAAAAGACCATGACTTTAAATATGTTGAGTATCACAGCGATGCCTTGGACTTGGATCTGCCGGTCGAACACAGATTAGTCAACTGCTTGAGGTAATAACGATTTTGTCGAAGCAGCAGGACTTGAAACTTTCACACACACTTACATCTATCAACTAAAATTAGCTCTGTTGTGATGTTTCTCCGATATCTGCACTGAACGAGGTCATAATTTATCTGCATCCGACCGCAAGTGGACACGCTAACATTATCAATGGTATTGTGTTAAATATTCTAATGGGCATCGTATCTTATCTCCTAAGTACAATTTTTGTCGATTGGAACATTAAATGTTGTGTGTGATGACCCCATAAACGACATTTTTAACTCTAAATAAGTGCCAGCAAGATATACTCCTGTGTCTCAATAGCCATGTTGTAACCTAGATGATACAAGAAAAACTTTGTAATTGCTTGTTAAGCTCTTGTGAATACTTTTTTGTTTGAGAAAGCCATGACTATATTTCGGCTAAAAGATATGTGCGCTCAAAACGCTTTATCGATACGTATTGCATGGATTTTAGTCATTAGCGCTGACGATCGAAGACAGTAGCCAAAAATGATACAATTACAACGAGACTGTCTTCATTTGGGCATCTGAAACGCTTCGGTATATAACGACGTAATTCTTAAGCTCACGATGCCAAGTCTTTTGGTCAAACAGAACACAGTGACACTATTGACTTTAGTATTTGATATTGGAATATTATTCGCGCGCTTTATCTGAATGAAAAAGCATTTTTTTTTGTTACGCTTTTTATCGTTTTTATAATTGTTTCAATAACTAATATGATATTTACGAGTGCGATAATTGGATGTAAATAACAAGTGTCTGTAATATGTCCATTGCAACCTTCGCGGCACATGATCAAGGCCTTGTGAAATGTTTTTCAGCGCTACATAAGCGGATATGTTCCAGCAATGTCTGACACTTCGTCAAACGACACAAAATATTTTTGTGCAATGTAAAGGAAGAGAAAGTAAGCAGTTTTCAATGATGATGTTTCTCAAACATCCGGTTAAGTCGCTGCTTGGTTAGTGAGGGGTGAAGTACGAGAAATGCATAACAATATCAGTCGCGTCTTTTCAGATGAATACAACATGCTGCGCAATTTGATTCGTTGACTTTGTTATGACTAAATCTTTTATGCTCGCCCTTGTCTAAACTTGTTCTTAACTGCTTACTAACGAAGTTGATTCCGTGTGACCTCTTTGTTGTGCCCTGCCGTCAAATAGCTTGATGCTTGCAAATATGGTTAATTCTGAGCAGATGAACGATCGAAACTATGCAACACTCAAGTTATCGAAGGCCGGACATCGTCTGCATCATTTTAGAATATCGCGAAACCGGGAGCTTCAAATTCTGCAATAAAATTGTAGTGGCTTTTTCAAAAATTCATTTTTGAAACATGTATTTTAGATGCAAAATCATAAAATATACTTTCTGAAATTAAAAAACAGACACATACTTTGTGAAATATGATACCTGCTGATTGGTCAATCGCTTCGTTCGTATCGGGTGGCACACACTAACAAAAGTCTAATTAAATTCAACGTTCACTTCATTAAACGGATGGTGCATTCCAATACAAATATCATCAGGGAGCCAGCGTAAGTGAGAGAGGAGAAGGTAAAACGATGATGTCGCCCTGCCCATATGGAATATCACCCTAGTCATTAAATTGAAGTATGTTCTTAAAAAGTTCGTCTGCACATCCTTGAATACCACCTTTGGAAAATCACATTGCGTTTGTATACTAGTTTCAGTACTCTTTCGTGATCGTTTCATTTCCACTTTTCCAACTTTTCATTGAGAACACCAAACTAAATCAAGTTTTCATGGCACGTACAAAGCAAACTGCCCGAAAATCGACCGGTGGTAAAGCCCCACGAAAGCAGCTCGCCTCAAAGGCTGCACGGAAGTCAGCACCTACTGCTGGTGGTGTCAAGAAGCCGCATCGTTATCGCCCTGGTACGGTAGCACTGCGCGAAATTCGCAAGTACCAAAAGTCGACGGACTTGCTAATTCGCAAACTTCCGTTTCAGCGTCTGGTGCGTGAGATTGCTCAAGATTACAAGACAGATCTTCGTTTTCAATCTACGGCTATTCTCGCTTTACAGGAAGCCTCAGAGGCTTATCTTGTGGGGCTGTTTGAGGACACCAATTTATGTGCCATTCACGCCAAGCGTGTAACTATCATGCCGAAAGACATCCAGTTGGCTCGGCGTATTCGTGGCGAGCGTACATAATATATATCAAACATTGTTATACCCATTCAAGATCTGTTTTTGAGGATATTCTATTGGTAACTTATCTATCATTCTTTGACAGTAGAACTTTACCATCTTCCCCAATGTCTGCATGCATATTAGCCTTTTCAAGAGCAACATTGGAATCTTCATCTATTCCCTGTGGACGCAAAGCTTCGATGAACTTTTGATTGTCAACATTTTGCTCGCACAAATTGCGCAAGGCAACTAACGACCATTCTCGGATCATTGGATTTGTCTCGTCAACGTTACAATGATTAAGAAACAAAGAGAGATATCCATTCTCACGAATGAAATCTTGGTGTTCTTTTTGGCGATAACAGAGATTACCAATAACGCGAATTAGTGCAGATCTATATCCCCAGGGCTCATCGTTTGACGATTGCAACGTCGAACCGATATGGCGCCTGTCTTCAGTACGTTCACGCTTCCATACACGGTGTAGCTCTTTCACCAGCGACTGCAGCAAATCTGTTGCTCCGTCAGGGCTGATCTTGGCGTAATCGACTGTCAGTTCTCCAAACACATCAAGCAGCATCAACTTGGCATCATTTTCCAATCCTATCCAAACCTTTTTTCGCACTTCGTCTCCTTCGATCGGTCTGTCCTCATCGCCTTCAGTAACAATGTACAGCCACGTGCTTTTCACAAACTCAAATATACCGGGAGGAGGTTGCTGCTGCTTAATACAAGTTGAGTTAAGCGTCGAGATTGCCCACATTCTGAACATCCTTAGTAAAATCAGTTGCTCTGGAGTCACTCGAGACCAAAGTTGGCTGAGTATATGCGCCCCAACAGCAGTGTAAAGGTGTTTTGTACGACCATCGTTGAACAGCACCCCAAACAGCATACAAATCCAATCGAAAGCTGGATCCTGGTCATCAATGTGTGGGACACTGATCACCGACACAGAAGACTCGGATGACTTAAATGGTCCCTGTATGCAACGGTGAAGTATGGTAATTAATAAATTACGGGCGCAGACCTACAAACATATACTTATCAATTGTCTTCCTGATAGATTATAGCAGACTCTATATACCAAGTCGACGCGTCGAGCGACAATCCTCTCGATTTCCGTGGCAACGCTACTATCCAGGTTAAAACAATTAAGCATTAATGCCACAGTAAACGCAATAACCTTGCGATGTCGATGACATTCCACAAGAATTTTCTGAGCATGATTGAAAGAGAAAATGTGAGAAATCGAACTGCTAACATTCTAATTCTACGAACCTGAAATTTGTCAGGAAAGAACAACATCCATATGACTTCTTGGTTCTTTACATTTTTAGCGACACCATTTACGCAAAATTGCAGCACAACTTGAGCAAGAAGAATAATTTCGCTATAAGCTTCATGTCAGATTTTAAACAGCACCAAGAACTACAACTTTCGTGTACCACATCACAAACGTACGTTTTTAACGTTTCATCCTCGACGTCTACCCAATGACAACAATGCATCACAACTTCATGCGCCTAGAACATTGTTAGTTTAAATCAAAGCAATAGAATCATTGAACCAACCTGCTTTAGAACCCCGACGTTCAAACATGCGTTCTGATTGTTGGTGCAAGCTGCACATGCATTGCGCAAGAATCGAAAGACTGCAGTTAGATCTTTGACTTGACTAGTCATTCGTTTAGAATCTTCTACAATCGGATTGGACGGCAATAGTTCGTGATGCAGCTCTTCAGCAGTTGGATCCTTGCTATCCACATAGAACGTATAATTCAGGCCATCGTCATCCTCATCTATCGATTCTGCATCTTGCATATTAACTTTGCAATTTGTTTTAGGTACTGCAGCCTTTATCTGATCCTGAAGCTCATGCATGAGCTCTTTTATCGTCTCAGCAGCTTCCGTCCACACTGGCGAAATACCAAGCGATTCTCTAAAAGCAGGCGTCAATGAGTACTCGGATTGTTGCAACGATTCCAATGATTGTGTTAAGGGAAACTGATGATCTATCAGGTATGACACTGTACCGAAAGGCGGCGCTGCGGCATTCCGTTGCCAGTGTTTCAAAGTTCATATTTTTTTTATTCTGATGCTACGGTGTTAAAAAAATTAAGTAGCCATTTCACAAATACTTTGCATTTTGTGCAATGGTGCAAAATACATTTATGGTGTAATTGGAAAAGAATAACTTTTATTGATTCTCACTCTTGAATTTAAAAAAGCTAATTTCTTTGGACATTCTCGATTCCGTTTTGGGTAAGGCATACCTAAATTCAACCTCTTTGTGCGGTGTCTTCAGTCAAAACTTTCTCAGTGCAAGATGTACGGCAAATCCGTTGCACTTGATAGCAATAGAAGTCAATTCAAAATGTGTATTGAAATCCTAGATCGCCTGTAAAATGAAGCACAATTTGTCCGCAGGACAGCTGGACAGCCCTGGTGCGCTTATGTTTGTTGTTGTTCCCGAGTAATGTAAGGGAAGTAGTGGCCCAAGAACCAAATGCACTGATCGATCCCCTGGAGGCGTTCACCACTTATGAGAAATCGCCGGTGAGATACCTTCAGGAACACCCTACCAGCATCAATGGAAGTGATTGGCGCTTATTGTTAGACCGCTAATGCTGTGCATCCAGTTCCAGAAGGACAAGAACAAAAAAATGATTTTCTCTGAAAGAGAATAGGCCGTGAATTCGGCTGGACGCCAGGCAGAGAGGTCTCTGAGCTTGGATGCCACGCGCAGGAGCGGCTACTAGCGTGAATGCCCACATTGGGTGCGACTGAAGAACCATATGTCATAGGGTTTGGTACTGCTTAATCAGACTTGCCGATTCGCTCCGAGTTCTTGTCCACCGCAAAATTGCAAATTTTGCTAAATATCATTGCCACAATAAAAACAAACCCTCTTCCGGAGGTAATTTTAGTCGCCATTTTCATCTAGAGCTCAAGACAGGTGCAGCTTGCACCGACACTTTCCGCGTTTATCCGAACGCTATCGAGGAAGCGATGAGTGTTGTAACGAAGGCAGGGTACAACTGCGTGTCAAGAAGACAATATTAGTTAGGAAGGCGGTAGCTCTATGAGCACACCAAAGTCGATCGATGTCGATTAAGTAGAAAAGGATGAGAGAGATTCCTTAGCTGCGGCGAATCCCAGTTAAGCAATCTCTTTCATCCTAAGTAATAAAGGCACACTTCGTTCTTGTTTGAGAAGTACACAGGGTTGGACTCCCACGTAAAGTCGCTATATAAAAGCGACCTTACGTGGGAGTCCAACCCTGTGTTCGAATGTCGAATCATCAAGCCTCAAAACGCGTAAGGTAGCCTACTGGGAAGAGCAATACTTTATCGTTCCTCGTGAAAGTTGAGATCACTGAGGCTCACTCTAGTAAAAGCGAATCTCTCTAAGTAGGGTGGGATTTTCAGCCCAGGATGTCGTTTATACAATTCAGCGTTTTCGGCTTTGTATAACCGCATAAAGCCCGGATAAATTATAACCGCAGTGCAATTCCGTATGACGCGCTTTTTCGACAGTCATAGTGCACGATGTACACAAGACGATTCCAAATACAATAAAATACTCGTGCATCTTGCGAGGGGGCATGTTGGGGAGTCTATTGAACTGTTTTGTATTCGTAGACTTTGACAACGTATTGTTTTCGCACCCAAACGGAATACAAGATATGGTTTCATCCGTGGTGTAGTGTGGCTTTAACGCCATGAGTCATGGATCGACCAGAAAAATAATATTCAACGAGCTTTAATCTTGGTGAAGGCTTGGTAAAAAACATCTTTGGCAGAAAGCGGGGCACTATTGACATGGGCGTGACGCTTTTGTGGCTTCGACGCAGGAGATATGATAGTCCGAGATGATGTGCTACGATGTAGCAGGGTAACGCTATCAGAAATTACAAGGTAGAAGGGGCAGCGAGCCGCGGTCCAACAATACACTGGGAATAGTAATCATATACCGCAATCTGAAGAATATATCTAGGCTGCGACAGGAATAGGCATAGATCTGCCGTGTATCGCTGGTCGGAATAGCGGCGAGTCGCGAATTGTGCATAATATATTAAGCTAATTGCAGCCATAATTCCGATGTAAACGTCGATTACTTTAAAAGTTTGCTTTGCAAACAGCTTTACTAGCGGCACTTTGTTAGGTGCTCTTAAATACTGAATAACTAGTATATAACTGCTAACGAGAAGCAGCGATCTCCCTCTCACCTCGTAAGTCACCAATGTTGTTGGCTATTTATGTCACAGAAAATACCTAACGCACAAGCTGTTTTCATTCATTTGATGATGCAGCCAATGTGGCCGCATCAACGTCTACGCTACATCAGATCACTCATATACGTTGCAATGAAGAAAAGCAATCAAAATTGATGCACCTCGAGATGATGGAAACACCCCGTGTGCTCTACGTGAGCTTGTAAAAGACGTACCACGATCTTTTCTATACGAGCCGTTATGATTGAAGCGCTCTGTTGAAGACGGAACAACATCAAAGCAATCGCCTCTGCTTTAAACTAGTGTTAATTTGAATTACAAGTGAACCCTAACTTTATTTGTGCGATTGCGAATCCAGGGAACGCTAATATAAAGTGGCCCATATTAGTATCAGTCGTACAATGAGACTCTACGCACTGCCACAACCGAGACATTCAGCCGCGCCACCCAAAAAAGTGCGAAAGGTGCCTATCGCTTACGTGGAATGATTACTGATTCGGTGGGTATATTAGGGACTTTGTTAATATCTAGTGAAGTGAAAGTAATACCCTAACTTATAAAACGCATTGAAAGTTTGAGGCCTATTTTGGCAAGGTTTCTCCGCTTTTGAACCGTTGTTGCTCGCACCTGACACACCCTCTGTATTCATTACCTCTGGAGACAGAATCGCTCAACGCAGAGCACATTCCATTAGCAAGTGACACCCAGCCTTATTTTCAGTGCTTCCTTGATCTCGAGGAGACGAAAGAGACTATGAGCGCCAATAATTTGGGATGATGGTTTCTACCTTGACGCCATAACCGTGCGCTGTTCTTCCCGTAAACAACTCTTTGATGACTTCCTCAACGGAAATCTGCCTCAATATAACTGGATTGATAAGCTGCAAGACGGTTACAACGACGCATATTCTCATCCAGTACGAATATTGAACGTAATACTGTGCGTGTACTCTCGTTACCATTGAGAGCCGAAAGTTTAGTACAATGAAAGGTCAAATTTACTCGCTCCGAACTACATCAAGTGCAGGCGGCGCTCCTGAGTTGAACCAATTTGCGAATATGAAATGTGCTTGCGAAGTGACTTTCAGGAGCTCATTTCGTTCAATATGGGTGGAAGGCCCTGCGTATCGAACTATGAGGACGTCGTTATGACTCAGCAAGCGACTTCAAGTAATATATGTCCATACCATAACATAAAGCGGACAAAATTTGTAGCAACTCTTGCTTTGCACACCTGTGGACTCAGCCTTGGGCCAGGTCAAGCGGATAGGTTACGATCTAGACGACATGGTGAGGTCTGTATTGCAGCACTTCTCTCCGTATAATAGACACACTGAGCGTAGTCCGCCTCGAGGTGATACGGAGCTAAGACCCTTCTTCTCACTGAACAGATCTGCCGCGTGTATCTCGATGAGAACGGAGCTGCCATGTCAGAACTCAGTTTTTTAGATCACACTCATTGGAAACACTCTAAGCACCTCAAAGGAGATTTATGGACGCAAGGATTTTGCACTCGCTAAGCCATATGATAGCTGATTAGAATAATTCTCGATGCCAGCATGATTGTAGAAATTTACCTTATAGGGCGAAAGTCGTAGAGTGAATCACTAAGTGAAGTGGGCGGTCGTCAAGCATTCACTTTTGTGTAATGTATAGTAGGACGAAAAGTATTAAAATCATTACGGTCTACGTAGTGGTTTGGTTAAGTGGCACAAAGTTTGCATTACACTGTGTAAGACACAAACTGCAGTTCTGTGCAACTGTTCATAGCTCAGACGTACTCAATCATTGGCATCCGATACTGATAATACGATTGGACTGCGCTTGTAATCGACCCATGGGACTCGTGTGATGTTAGCCTCAGGCCATGGAGCGTGGAAAATCAATAAAATGATCTCGGTAGAGCTAATCTGCTACATAAGCGACTCTTCATTTTTCTTCTGATCGAATCCTACTCTGTGCGTTTGATGGCTCCGGCTCTCCGAGTCAAAACTCTCTGTGTACAAACTTCGCACCAACACAATTACAGCATAGAGTTGGTGCCGAGTGAGGATACACTAAACACAACACAAAAAGCAATAGCGGACTGTTGAGTTTCTCTCCACCATTTTTGCTGGCAAGGCTCAGACATATTCTGACCCATTGCCATCTGGTTGGAGTAAATCACCCCCTAAGCAACGACGAAAGCATGACAAAGGTCAAAATGACTAATCAAAGTAAGGAAGGACCAGAATAAGCAACCAGGCGCTGCTTTTCTTCCTACAGCTGATGCATCTTTCGATAATAAAGAGCACGAGTGCATGTCAGAATTGACAAGTTGGCCAGATTCCGTCATGCCCAATCGATTACTGGTTGAAATATTGTTGCGATGACTATCTCGTCGTTGTTACTTACAAAAACTGGAATACCAACGTAAAATACTACGATGACCGTCTTGCTTGGCGTTGCTGCATTGATTGACCTCATATTTGTTAGGGACTGGCCTCAGCATAATTATGTGCGTGAGCCAATCACATTCTCCTTGCCTGCTTCAGACCAGGAGCGCGCACATGTAACTAATGATCCGCTATAAGTTAATGTCTACGTTAATTAGTTCGTTAAGGAACGCCGTTCCAAATTCACTTCGATGCAAATTCAAATCGCACTCAATCGCATAGAATCATAACTGACGTAAATTTGGCTACCGACTCAGATTTTTTATTGATGAGGCCATATGGAAATAAACTTTGGTATTGAGTGATGTAATTAATATATATCAACCGACACATGAATGCTTTTTTTGCTTTTGCGGCTCTTAAATTGGCTCGTGTGAGCTCGACAGTGCAACAATTGAAGCACGCATGAGAC